AGTTCTTCTTTCATCTCAAAAGCAACGATTTTTAAAGCACTGTTAAAACACGACTACACTCTACTAATTGTATCATTATTGAATTGAAGATGCTATTTGAAATGTAAACGGAAACCTGAACATGTACCTTCATTCATTACTAAACAAATCCGTGCGTTGTTCATTGCCTGGCGCCTCGAAATCAACACGGGTTTGCCAATAAATATTGCAACTTTCCCGTGTTTATTTCAGGACCACGTCGGTTTGAATTAAACACGGAAACGTAAAATCGCAACCCGACAGATTTGCCATCTCGGAGTTGTGATGCTCGGTCTTTATTAGAATCCCGATGATGGGACTGGCCCGAGTGGCTATATGGAGAACCTAATTCATGGCCTACAGAGGAGCTTGAATGCGACGAATCTGTCATTGCTTTGGAGAAAAAGAAAAAGGTTCATTCTTGATTAGCTTTCTGCAACTCAGACTACTGGCATATAACATATTTTTGGCAATATAGTAAAACCACGAGAATGATTGCTTGGGTTTTAAGATTTATATTTAATATAAGAAATGTCAATACAAAACTACAAGATCCACTGACTGCTGAAGAAGTTGACAAAGCTGAACTATGGATACTAAAAATAGTACAGACTGAATCGTTTGACACATTAACTGACAAACGTTTGTCCGATTTACATACGATCATTGACGATTCAGGTTTAATCCGGGTTAAACACATACTTTGATTTTCTTTTACTATACGGAGAATGGTCAAACTGCGCAGCTTTCTGAGTACCTTTTAAAAGGAGATAGAAAACTCCGCCATTTTGAACCTTTATTACGTGTTGCCTACATCTTGGCGCAATATTTTTAATAGGTGCGTTTTAATCATCCGCTTCTGCTTCGGAATTGTCGGTTTTCTTGTTTTAATCTGACAGGTTAAAACGACTAAACCGACAATTCCGGAAGCAGAAGCGGATGATTAAAACGCACCTGATATTTTGCTTGCTGCTGTCAGTGTCAGTGAATATTATTTTTGAAGTCACAGTTTATTGCTAAAGAATCAGTTAGCTCACTCGGACCAGTTGAAAGTTCCAAAATAACATCCACTCCAGGGATACAAATTCGGATACGCAGAAGACTGCTGTTTTATTATAGGCGGTTGTCATATATTGTATTATCCGAGTTGCACAGTGTATAAACTGAAACATTGAGATCAAAAGTGCCGACGCAGAGTGAGCGATCTGATTCTTTAGCTGTAAACTGTGTCACAGGGTTCAAAATGGCCGCGCCCTATGTTGGGCGTGTCGGACCTCTCTCTTCCCTCGTATAGTAATCAAAGTATGTGGGGTTAAAACTCGAATCTTTTCTCGGAATGATACGTTAAACTTTCGTTTTCCAATAGTTTTACCCGGTAAACATCCTATAGTTGGTTAGTTAATATTATACTATCATAAGAATTCTTGTCACGTAGGTACAGAAGGTCTTCTTTGTGAGCGGTTTTGGATTCTTGGTGGTAGACGTTCTATTCGGTCGGTAATTACCAAATGTGGATTTTGTAAGAGATAAGTCTAAACCTCTTCAAGTGGTAACGCCTCCGTTCCAATTTGATCGGGTCAGAGACACAGTTACGTTCGAAGTTACCGGGGTCGACTTTGCGGGGCCTTTACACCTAAAATCAGGCGAAAAGGTATGGGTTTCTTTATTCACGTGTGCCGTGTATCGTGCGATACATTTAGAACTCGTTGGATCATTATCTACGGCGAGTTTTATACAGTGCCTTCGTCGGTTTGTCGCTAGACGTGGACGTCCAAACATAATTTACAGTGACAACGGTACAAATTTCATCGGTACTGAAAACGCATTCAGTAAACTTAATTGGGAATACATTGCAAGCTTTTCTTCTGTACAACGTATAAAATGGCGGCTAAACCCACCCACAGCGGCATGGTGGGGTGGATTTTGGGAAAGTCTAATCGGAGTTTTAAAAGGTTTATTGCGTAAAGTTTTAGGAAAATCATCTCTCAGTTACTAAGATTTGTTGACTGTTATATGTGACTGTGAAGCTATAACTAATGCTAGACCAATCACATATGTATCTGCCGACACTACTGATTTAGCCCCCCTCACCCCTGCTATGTTTTTACGCGACCAAGGTGAAGTTGGTGTGCCAGACTGCGATCTAATTGACCAGTTATCAGCATGTCGCAAATCAAAACAAACAGAAATTAAGAGAAGACTTTCGGAAGAGATTCAGAAGCGAATATTTAGCTCAACTTCAAGTGTTTCAAAAGAAGACAAAATCAAGAAAAAAATTACACGTTGGTGACGTTGTTCTAGTAGACAATGACCACGATAAACGGTTGAATTGGCCATTTGGTCGAATTATAGAATTGATCGAAGGCAGAGATAACGAAGTTCGCTTAGCACGGGTTAGCACTTCAAGGGGCCAACTACTTCGACCACTGCAAAGGTTATTTCCTCACGAATGTGCTGAAAAATCAGATTTTGATGTTGGATCAACTAGTTTCCGGGAATCTGACAAGCCATGTAGGCGAGAACATCAGGAAACAAGGTCAGATCTCATCGGAAGACTCTACAAGCGATAGTACGGGACTGGCTGGTGTTAGCAAGGACATCGAAAACAGAGTACCCGATAATGTGTACGTCACAAAACGTGGTAGAGTAGTTAAACAACCCGATCGATTTATCTCTAATATGTGAACTGTTTTTATTATAATTTGTAATGTATCCAGCATGTCTTTATTGTTGAGTTGCATTGTTAATGCCCCCAAAGTGGGAGGATGTTGGAGACATGCTGTATATAATTTTAATAATTTGTCAATTTTGACTTATAATGTTTGTAGTAAAAGTCAATATACGATCCTTCCTAGTTTCTTCTATAATTCTACAATTTTATATAAAAAAGAACCTGGTGAACGAGGAACAGCGGGTAGCAGTTTCTGTCCGTTCACAACAGCTATTTTAAAATTGTAACCGAGATTTGAAATTTCTTCTTTTTGCACATATTTATGTTGGGGAATCCTAATAGTGATATTTAAAGATGGATAGTACAAATCTTCACTGACGAAGGGAAGTGAATCTCTTTGATTTAGACAATTATTTTCTGAACCAATAACTAAATCTAGCGTTCTTCCTTGAAAGTTTTTTATGTTATTGAATAACTTCAATCCATTAAAATCTACAAAATCTTGAAAATTATTTAAAATATTATTATTAATTGAACGATCATAGTTTATACCTGAAATACTATTATGTTAAATCCCCCATAATATATACTTTTGTCATGTCAAAATTCACTAAATTATTCTGTAAAAATTCTAAAGCAGTTTCATATGTTTTAAATGCACTACCTGATGGAAGTATATTGCACATAATTTGTATTTCACAAAATTATTCTGAAATTCTACAATGACTGCCAAAATATAACTATGCTTTACTATATTTAAGAGTTTAACATTTTTCAAGTTATTGTCTACGATTTCACCCTCATGCACTGACTCCTATAACCATGTTTCGACGGCAATTATAATATCGTAGTTTTCATTAAGACAAGATCTAAAAAAAACACGGGTTGCACTCCGGGAGTGCCGGCAGAAGTGAAAACTTGAATATTAACGTTGTGCATTTTTGATTTTTTGGAATAGTTAGGGAATAATTTTGAACGAATGCCTATTATTATTCCAATTTGTTCCAATGTATTCCAATGTATTCCAATGTATTTCAATGTATTCCAATGTATTCCAATGTATTCCAATGTATTCCAATGTATTCCAATTTATTCCAATTTCTTCCAATTTATTCCAATTTATTTCAATTTATTCCAATTTATTCCAATATTCCAGTTTATTTCAATTTATTTCAATTTATTCCAATTTAAAAAATATCGACAATCGAAAGAAAACAATCGATTGTTCGATTAATCGATTTCGATGTTACAACACTACTCTCCAACCGTCTTACGAATTTTCGATCAGCATACGTGTCCTGACGCGAGTTTCACAGTTTTTACCCATCCCACAAAAGTGCTCAACGCCGCTAAAGAAGTTTTCACTTCAAAAATCATTACACTTACTCTTCTTACAGTTCTGAAAATAGATATGTAGAGAGTGTAGCATAAACAATATTCACGTTGTAAGCTCATATTCGTTGCCAAAGATTTAACAAAATAGGTGGTACCTTAAATTAACTATCATTATTACAGTTAAATTTACCAGTTTACTATAAAAAATTCCTTTAAAACAGATAGAAAATATAAAACTTAGTCATAAATCATAAACAATGACTAACAAACAAGAAACCTAATAGTTCTAGCTTAATTATCGGCATTCAGAATACAATTTTCAAAGGGTATTGGTAAAATCCCAAATCAAATAAGTAATAGAGAGTTGAAGCGTTTCCAGTACGTAAACGTGAACGCAGAAAAATAATATTTACGTTGCTGTACAAAATATGAGTTGAAGTTGTTAAACGCATCGTGACATTTACGTATCGTGACAAATAATTACAATTTATATTGGGATTTCTTCTTTTCCAATTAAAAAGTGGTTACTTTGTTTGCGTTACGTGTATACGCCAAAACACGTAAGTTTACGTATGTACCACGAAAGGATATTTTTATACGCATGCGCAGATGTCAAACGTATACGTTTACGTTCATAACATCACTTCAACTCTCTATTATCAATTTAGTGATATCCTCGGATATCATCAAGAACTACAAATAAATAAAATAAATTTTAGCTAAGGTTAATCATTGTTTAGGATTTATCTTTTATTTAACAAAAAATTAAATCCAATAATTCTATAATAATTATTATCAGCATTCAGTTTTTCAAAATTTATTAGCAGAATCCCATTATGGAATGGAAAAAGAAAGTATAGTTGAATCCACCTTTATTGTTACAACCAGATATTGAAATTATGGATCTCTTAATAATTCCAAACAATGAAGCAATGTAATTTATATAAATAATAGCTTAATTGTAACTCATTTTTAGTAATTATGAATATGAGATCATTGTAATAGATGACGGAAGTCCTGATGGTACCCTAGAAGCTGCAGAACAACTTCAAAAAATATATGGAAAAGATAAAATTATTTTAAGGCCAAGAGAAAAGAAACTGGGACTTGGAACAGCTTATATTCATGGAATTCAACATGCCACTGGAAATTTTATTATTATAATGGATGCTGACTTAAGTCATCATGTAAGTTTTCTTTTTATCAATTTAATTTTAACATAGTTAAGTACATATAGGATAATAAAAATAAAAGTTTAACTAGATTTTTCTTTTAAGAAAAAACTTTGAATCACTTGAGGATGCTATTTAAAATTTTCAATTAAAACAACCATTTTTAATTTAAAAATTTCAACTAAGTTGAAGTGAGGACATAAAAGATGGAATAAATTCGATTTTTTAGTAAAATGCTTTCACAGGTCAATTTTTACAATACACTTCTTATGCTACAATCTACAATTTGATTTACTATGACATCACCACTTTCATGTACATGAAGTCTTTTTTGAAATGACCAATAATAGACAATTACAAAATTGTATGTAATACACTTTCAGGCACCTATCTGCTTCCCAGATGTCCTATTGTACCACCATTAAAAGGACTGGACTAATACAGTCCAAAATTAAATTAAATTTTCAATGTGCAGGCCGTTGACTTCTTGGCAATAACGAAGACTGTTTCTAAATTCCTCCAACACTTTAGTTAACGTTTACGGGCAACAGGTTTGGCATACACAAAAATCCATTTCAAAAACTCAGTGAAACCCACCATCAATATTGACAAAGAACCAGTGGGCTTTTGTGTCAAAAACCCACTCAAACAGAAATAATTAAACTATCTTAATTTTAATTTTTTTTTATTAAAAACAATCTTCCTGTCATAGTGACAAATAACAAATATCAATTAAAAAATATAGGATTATTTTACTTATCTATTTATTAAACAAAATAACAAATCGTGCATATGCCATCACCACATCTTGACCAAATTTATAGGGGACCACCCCTGAGTTACCCCTTTACTAACAAAAAAAGATTTATATATATCGGACAAGGTTGTAAAGAATTACCACTAAACATACATAAAAAATGAAGAGTTTGGATTTTCTAATGGACTCAATTATTTGATTTTGACCAAATTGACCACCCCTGAATTACCCCCTTTCTAACAAAAAAAGAATCATTGAAATCAGACACCGTGTTAAAGAATTATTGCTGAACATACATAAAACAAATATTACGACGAATTGAGAACCTCCTCCTTTTTTGAAATTTATTAATCAAACATTTCTTAGAAAAGTAAAAATCAAAAGGAACTTTTCTCGAGATACCTAACTACTAATAGTAACGTAACTAATAAAAAGGAAACAATCTTTGGCATTTTCATATTGGGAAAGTTTTATAATCTTAACAAGTTTTTCTACTTTTTCTGTGGCTAAGAGGTTCTCAAGTCTGACCACACGTAAACGAAGGTACTGAATATTCTCTCCAAGGATGCCGAACTTGCTGGACAACTGTGCAGGTCAGCGAAAAATTTTGCCATTTTAATTAACGAAGGATTTCTCTGTTGGGAACTAACTTTAGCACCTATAATAAGCCACCATTTATGTGCCTCTTCTGCCTTTATAATTGATTCTGAAAACATAGTGCCTGGGTAAAGATCTGTATCCTTGATCCTTAACAATAAATAGGTATCCTTGTAAATAATCGTCACAGAATTCAGTCAACCATTTTTCTGCAGTTTCTTCATACTCACTAGCTAGTGATGTTTCTAGAAACTTTGGGTCAGTTAAAAACCAAACAAAGTGGAATGGCTGCATCGCTTCCTTAATTTTTTTATTAATATCTGATTTTAGTAGTTGACCTCATCTCTAGCTGTATTCTCACTATTTTCATTTTCGTATGTAATTATTGTAGCCTCAGAATCGGCAGTTTCAGCAGTAACAGCATTTCCATTTTCTTGCTCCAATGTTAACAGTAACTGGGTCTATGGTTCTCTATCCACAGAATCCATCTTCAATATCTTTGAAAGGAATCTCTTCTATTAGTTTTATTACAATGCGTATTATCAATTTGATTTGCTCCAAACTCGGCTATCATTTATTTTAAGACTTTCCCAAAATGAAAATCAAACTTGCATCAAACAAAACTGAATAAATTACTAGGTTAAGCAGCAATTAGATAACAATGATTTAACTGAATTGAATGCCAGCAAAATGTTGCTATAATCAATAGCAATATGTTTTAATTTACTCATCTAACAAATCTTGTGATAGTTGTTAAATAAATAAATAAATAATTTGAGTCGGGTTCTGAGTTTGAGGTTATGTAAAATGTCAAAGTGTTAAAAACAAAAGCCTACAAAAACCCTCATAAATTTTCAAAAACCCGGTTTTTGCCAACCCTGACGGACAAAAAAAAGAAATCTATTAATAAAAACCTACAATGTTTATTAGTCCCGTCTTACAAATTTTAGATTCAAAATTTTATAACATTTGTCTCTAATTCACAAACTTTGGACTGGAATGAAGAGAAAAATATGTTTTCTATTTCTTCATGTAGACGAAAGTGGTGATGTCATTAGTACATCCAATTGTAGCGTAAGACCCACAGTTGAAAACAGTGGCGTAGCCAGAAATTTTTCATGGGAGGTGTAATAGCCAGCCTAAAACGGCATCTAGTGAGACTGTAGTTCATTTGTTAAGCCGCTATTACATTTGTCTTCGATGGCTGCACTGGGAGAGCATCCTGAAATATGTGGTGCTTGGGAAAAATAATGCACTAGAGATCATTAAACACACTATATTAATTATCAAAAGGGTTAGTAAGTATTTTGTTGAGAAGTGGCAACACTGCCAAAAAATGCCGGTATTGGAAGCAAGTGATTTATGTTATATTTCACAATTCAATTAAGAAATAAAAAGGGGAAACAAAAAGGGACCTGTTGCAGGCCCTGCACCTGTGGGTAGGCTTCCTACTTACAAACTAGCACTTACACCGCGGGTTCAACTTTTTACAATGGTTTGCCGGCATATTCGCGCTAAGGCGGGAAACCCACCACTCACTGGAAGTAGAGAATTCACGTAGTGTTTTTTAATGTCGCGGGCCGATAATCCGGGGTCGAGTACGTTAAGGGGTGTTGCGAAGGCACTACTTTTCGCGTATACAATGAACGCAGATTTTTTCTGCTTGAGCATGAGAGGCGCGCTTCTTCACAGTTCGAGTGTTAGAAACACACTGCTCCTGGTTGAGTGTTAGAAATATACTGTCTTCACTCGTTGAGTGTTAGAGACGCACTGGCGTTATTCTCGCGCCGAATCGCGTTAAAGCCTTTCGTTTGGCCAATAAGGGAGTTTGATTATGGAGGGATTATCTAATTATTATTATTTATTACTATTTATGTTTGTTCTTTATTATTTTAACTATTAGAATTATTTATTAGGGCTTGTGCATTTTTATTATTTATTTTTAGGCGTTGGTTTTTTATTATTTATGAAATAAAAGTTTATTACTTTTTCAGTCTTCGGCTGTTTCCGTTGTATATATTTCTTGTGGCTGTCAAACGTTCTGTTTGACATGGCGGTTTGAATTCAAATAGGAGGTGTTTCTGAAAACTATAGGGGGTCCATTAACAAAGTGAAATATTTCAGATAAGTTTGTTCTTATTAAAAAAATCTGATGTGTCCAACACATGGCTTTCCTATCTAGTTATTATAGGCTTTTTCCGGTTATTTTGTACAACCTATTGCAGCACCTCTATAAATATTAGATGAACTAAATATGTACATTTTCCACATACATCTACCTCGAAACATTTTTCTATATATATATTCATTGACAACGAAAATACTGAAAAATTTAAATTTAGCACCTTTCCTCCAATTTTTCCATTACGGTTCATTTTAGAAAAATCATGTATAAACAAAAATTATAGAGATCGATATCGCAAACAACTTTTAGTTTAACAATTTTCTTAAAAACCAGAATTTTGCACATTTTGTCAAATTTCTTGGAATACGGACCATTTCAGGAAAATTTGACATGAAACAAAAATTATAGATAATAATATTAGAAGTAACTTTTATTTGAACAATTTTCTTCTCCAAACATAAATAACAGATAGATTCCATAAAATATAAAAACGGCCTCCCATAAAGTACCCCCCCCCCCCCCCCCCCAGATGTTCCGACTTTGTCCAAAGTCTAATTATTTCACTTAAGTTTAAAATTTAATGTTTTTTCCTTTATCCGTTATTGAGTTTTCTTCAAAATTCGAAATTTACACATTTTCTTAAATATCTCGAATACGGTCCATTTTAGATAAATTATGTATAGGATAAAAAATATAGAGAATTATATTACAAACAACTTTTATTTGAACAATTTTTATAAAAAGTTATTTTCTTTACATTTTGTCAAATTTCTCGAATACGGACCATTTTAGGAAAATTATGTATAGAACAAAAATATAGATAATAATATTAAAAGTAACTTTTATTTGAATAATTTTCTTGTCCAAACGTAAACACCCTCAGATAAATAAATATATGAATGTCAAAAATTTACATTGTGTTTGTTTGAAAGCAACATATACAATCCAGTTGATAGGAGGGGAATACTTTTGTTATCCAGTAGCGTATCAAATAAATTCTATTGATTTAAATTATTTTATTAGTTTTGAGATATTTCAGTAAACTAATGTTTCTAATATGGGATGTTAATAGAAAACCGTCAAAAATGAATTTTTCAGTCGACAAATATATATTTTTTTAAATTAAAAAGATAAATTGTGTTTATACCATGTGCTCAAATAATTTGAATAAACGTTGCAATGATAGGTAGGTATACCTAGTTTTATAAATTTTATTTTTGAAATTTTGTACTAATATTTTACATTGATTTTTTTGATTATTTTTTTTTTGATTTATGATACCGTAGAACGGGGTTAATTGGGACAAATTTTAAACATTTTTTTGCTGGTACTTGAAACATTTACTTATTATCCACCTTGTTTATATATATTTGGAAAGATAGTAGGTGTATCTGTCTTATGTGAAGCAATGAGCCTTCCCTATTACACAGTAGGGCTAACATTTTTTCTTTTATAGCTGTCCCAAATTACCCCGTAGGGTGGGGCTATTTGGGACTAATAGCAAATTGCGTTAGAACTCGAATAATATTGATTGTTGGGGATTTTTGGGACACTCAAAATAAATTTAAAATAAAAAAATTAACATTTATTTTGTAGTTGTAACCAAACGTTTACAAATATTATCCTAAATTACAAAAAAAAAATATTTTAAAATTTAATGTTTTTTCCTTTATCCGTTTTTGAGTTTCTTCAAAATTCGAAATTTACACATTTTCTCAAATATCTCAAATACGGTCCATTTTAGAGAAATTATGTATAGGATAAAAATTATAGAGAATTATATTACAAACAACTTTTATTTAAGGAGGTCCTTTCTCCGTCCCTTTCGCCACCAATGTTAAATAAAAAATATTAGATTATGACTAAAATTTATTTTTTTTCTAATAGTTGAAGTCCTTATTTATCTAATGTTGAACTTTTACCGTGCAAATTTTTGAGAATTTTTTTTTTAAATGAGAGTATTTGTACAGTGTCTTATGAGAAAATAAGACCTCAACAACAATTCTCGAATTATATTATTATTTATTGATTAGATATAAACAAAATTCAAAACTGGTGTATAAATAATAAGCTCATGTTAAATCCTGCAAAATGCAACGTAATGTCATATACGCGAAAGAGTGACTGCATAAGATACGATTACAATATAGGAGGTGTCGTCCTCCAGAGACCTGACACGATTAAGGACCTCGGTGTTGTCTTCGATTCAAAACTTACATTTGTTAATCATTTGGCCATAACTGTCGCATCTTGTTATAAAGTTCTAGGTTCCATTCTACGATCTATCAAAGATTTTAATAATCTAGATACGTGCAAATTGTTATTCTGTGCCCTTGTTAGATCCAAGCTTGAATATGCCTCAATAATATGGTCCCCTAATTATAATGTGCACGTTTTAACTTTAGAAAAGGTTCAGCGACGTTTCCTTAAGAGTCTTCATTATTATTTTCATGGAACTTACCCTGAGAGGGGATACCCACAAGACCAGCTTTTAACAATGTTTGGAATGCAGAGCTTATTTCAACGAAGAATTATATATTCAATTATTTTCATTTTTAAAATAGTACACCATTTAATTAAATGCCCGGCTTTATGTGCTCAGCTTAACTTCCTAGTTCCAAGAATTAATTCCAGGTACAGCTGCACATTCATTCTTCCCACTCCCAGAACAAACTTATTATGTCAGTCTCCATTGTACCATATGCTGTCCACGGTTAATGACTCGAGTAAAGAAATTGATCTATTTTGTACTACCATCTCAAAGATTAAAAAACTTTATTCCTGATTTATATCCATATATTCCTAATTAAAATATTTAGTGTAATGTAATTTAGTGTAATTAAGTTTTTTATGTTTTTGTATCTAATTTCATCTTTATATATTAGTTGTTTCGCATGCGATATGTGTGAGTAACCTTTTTTCTCCACTGGAGTTTTTTTCAGATTACTCATACAATCTCATTTATAGTTTTACTTTAAAATTTGTTTTGCTTTTATTGTATTATTTACAAATATATGTTTATTAATGTTAAGTGCGCATTCTGTAATAGGCCTTGGCCGTTGAATGTAAGAATAAATAAATAAATTAGATGGAGTAGAAAAAAAACTAAAAATAGGGTTTTTGAAATATTTAGGTTTTGTTTTTTACAATAAAATATATAGGTTACCTTGGAATTTATTGAGAAATTAATATTAAAAAAAAATTTGAAGTAACCTAGTTGAAAATTTTTTGTAATTTTTTAATATTAATTTCTCAATAAATTCCACGGTAACCTATATATTTTATTGTAAAAAACAAAACCTAAATAATTCAAAAACCTTATTTTTAGTTTTTTTCTACTCCATCTAATCAATAAATAATAGTAAAATTAATTATAATTCGAAAATTGTTGTTGAAGTCTTACTTTCTCGTAAGACACTGTACAAACACAAACATTTAAAAAAAAAAATTTCTCAAAAATTTGCACGGTAAGGTATAGTTAAAAGTTCACTATTAGATAAATAAGGACTTCTACTATTAGAAAAAAAAATAATTTTAGTCATAATCTAATATTTTTTATTTAACATTGGTGGCGAAAGGACCTCCTTATAAAAAATTATTATTTTAGGAAAATTTTGTATAAATCAAAAAAAAATCATGATTCCTCTACTTTCCTTATCTGTATACAGATAGGAAAGTAAAAAATCTGATGTGTCCAACACATGACTTTCCTATCTAGTTATTATGGCTTTTTCCGGTTATTTTGTACAACCTATTGCAGCACCTCTAAAAATGTTTAGAGGATAAACTAAATATATACATTTTCCACATACATCTAACTCGAAACATTTTTCTATAGATATTCATTGAAAACAAAAATACTGAAAAATTTAAATTTAGCACTTTTCCCCCAATTTTTCTATTACGGTCCATTTTAGAAAAATCATGTAAAAACAAAAATTATAGAGATAGATATCGCAAACAACTTTTAGTTTAACAATTTTCTTAAAAATCAGAATTTTGCACATTTTGTTAAATTTCTCGATTACGGCCCATAACAGGAAAATTTGACATAAAGCAAAAATTATAGATAATAATATTAGAAGTAATTTTTATTTTAACAATTTTCTTCTCCAAACATAAATAACAGATATATTCCATAAAATATAAAAACGGCCTCCCTCCCATAAAGTACCCCCCAGATGTTCCGACTTTTTCCAAAATTTAATCATTTCACGTCAGGCCGAAATAAAACTTAAATTTAAAATTTAATGTTTTTTCCTTTATCCGTTTTTGAGTTTTCTTCAAAATTCGAAATTTATACATTTTCTCAAATATCTCAAATACGGTCTCCATTTTAGAAATTATGTATAGGATAAAAATGATAGAGAATTATATTACAAACAACTTTTATTTAAACAATTATTATAAACAATTGTTTTACATTTTGTCAAATTTCTCGAATACGGACCATTTTAGGAAAATTTATAGAACAAAAAATATTGATAATAATATTGTAAGTAACTTTTATTTGAAGAATTTTTTTCTCCAAACGTAAATAACAGATATATTCCATAAAATATAAAAATGACTACCTATAAAGTACCCCCCCCCCCCCCCCCCCCCAGAGGTTCCGACTCTGCCCAAAATCTAATCAGTTCATTAGACGCCGGAATAAAGCGCGCGCGCGCCCACGCACGCACACACACACACACACACACACACACACACACACACACACACACACACACACACACACACCCCACACCATCGCAAAAATTCGAAACGGATTCAGGGGACCCCAAAACGTAAAAATCCGTCGAAAACTGGAGGTCGAAAAAATCATGATTCCCATACTTTCCATATCTGTATACAGATAGGAAGTAAAAAAAATAAAAATAAATATTTTTTTAATAAAATGATAAAAAAAATTGAATAATCGAACAGTTAATAGCGATCAGCGCCAATCAGATGACGGAAACGGTGACGGGAAAGCCTTCCATGGGGGTTGGTTCCGACCCTTCCCTGACTACGCCGCTGGTTGAAAATAAAAATTGACCTGTGAAAGCATTTTGTTGAAATATTGTTAGTCAGAAAAATATTGAATTTATTCCAACCTATAAGTCTTTGTTTTCATTACTTTAGAAATACATTTTACAATTTTTTGTTATTTTTAGCCAAAGTTTATACCAGCATTTATAGAAAAGCAACAGTCAAAAAATTATGATGTGGTCTCAGGTACTAGATATATAGGAGAAGGAGGAGTCTTTGGATGGGATTTCAAAAGAAAGTTGGTATCTCGTGGAGCAAACTTCTTAACTCAACTTTTGTTAAGACCAGGTGCATCGGACCTTACAGGATCATTCAGGCTCTATAAAAAGGATGTTTTAGAAAAATTAATAAACAGTTGTGTATCGAAGGGATATGTTTTCCAAATGGAGATGATTATTAGAGCAAGACAATGTAACTATACTGTTGCAGAAGTACCAATTACTTTTGTTGATAGAGTTTATGGAGAATCAAAATTAGGAGGATCTGAAATTATTCAGTTTGCTAGAGCTCTATTATATCTTTTTGCTACTACATAAAATGTAAGCCTGTTGAAATTTGAAATAAAGATATTTTTATTTACATGCAATAAAATGAAATACAGTGGGATATACTTAATATCCACCAACCCTAAGATTTGTCAAACTTTTGACTATAGTCTAGAGAAGAAAGGAGTGCAGCAATTTAATTCGCAGAATATAGTACAGGTTAAAGAGGTGACATTTTATTTATACTTCATCCTTCAATGCTTATTTGTAGTTAAAATGAAAATTTTAATACATCTGAATCGGCTTAATGAAAGTTTTCGTTTAGATTTAATCATCGTTCCATGGTTTTTAATGTAATAAACCTTTTCTTTCGACAGATAAGTCCGACTTTATTTATAGGCGAATTGTATGTATTGTTAGCAATTTTACCTAGAGTCGCCTCTGGTCAGGGAGATAAGCACGTGTTGATGACGATGCGTAAATACCCCGACCTTTTTCGTCGGCATCATGTGGGTGTTTCACAGGGCATTCTGAAAAGTACAATCAACGTGGTCGATCTCTCTGCGCAGACTTACTGGCCACTCGCTACGTCATTACATGTGTTTTTGTATTCAATATTCATACGATTATAGTGGTGTTTACTAATATTTGGATTTTTAATTGTAATTAATATTTATACCCCCTTCGTTTTCTAACATCAGAAGTGCGATAGGACTCATGACTCACGCTGTTGTTGATGCATTGTTATTAATTAATTACCGTTAATGACTTTTTGGTGAACAGTTATTTAAAATAATTATTGTGCTATTTCTTAGGTGTAGAACAATAGAAAAAAAAATGGATTTTAAAAAATAGTGAAAGTGGTACTCAGATATTGTTATCAGAGTTAGTTACTGCGTTACAGGCATCAACTGAGCAGGTAAATTTGTGATATTTTCGACCTGAGTTAAGTGAATCCAACAAATGGGTGAGTGGTATTAAAATTATAAAGTATAAGATGATATGACGTGAAAATATTAGGCAGAGTTGGTTGATTTTTACTGAACGAATATTTGATATGATCAGTGAAACCAAATATTAAAAATTGATTACTTTTAAGACGGAGTTTACTGAGCCATTTCCACCGAAACGTAACGTTCATGAAAAATCTGCGATGATAAGTTTACGAGCTAATTGGAATAAAAGTGACGTAGTATAATTAATTATTCACAGTATTTCTAAATTAGATAATAATGGCAATGAAATTGTCGGACAATTAAAGAATTTTTACTATTTTTGTTATCTTTTGCTAAATGGAATTTAAAAAGCAGATGTTAAGTCACCTAATCTTAATAGCCGTTTGTCAAAGAAATGTGAAGAGTCCAAGACCCGACGCAGCTGCTTCATACAGTAAACAAAATCTGAAAACGAGAATGATGATGGTTGCTCTATTTGCGCTAAATGTGGACATACGATTTTAAATTGTTTTACAAAAGCTGCTATTGACAAAATACGATTTTAAATTGTTTTACAAAAGTTGCTATTGACAAACGCCGAAACATTAATTTTTGTCTAGCTGATAAACTTGCAAATACAACAGAAATTTGAAATTGAAGGGCATCTAATTTAGGCTCTTGTAGAGATATTTATCGTTAATGTTGAAAAAATGTTTAGATTGATTTAAAAATGAAGTATTTATTTGTAAAATTCTGCTAAAGAGTATTACAAAAAAAAAATGTCATGATAAGTGCAAAAATAAATGTACAGGGTGTACAAAAATTTATGACGTTGATATTTCTGTCATTTACATATTTGTTTGTGAGAGTATTCTGGATTATGATGTAATTATTGGTCGTGATTTATTTGAAGACCAAGCTCTAATGACAATAACAGATCTTCAAGGTTCTCGTATTGAACGACGTAAATTACATGGAATTAAGCGAATTTTTGAAAGTTTTCACATATAATTAGGTGAAGTTAAAGTTCCGTCCCAGAGTCCTACGAGGTATTTGAGAAAGTTTTTTAAGATTTCGGAAGCATATAACAAGTGATAATAAAATAAGAGCGGTTAATAATCTTAGTTAAAGAAAATAAAGTTGGAAAAAGGCATTGTTCTGAATCATGCTTCACCGAGTTACTCCAAGTGAAACAGAAGCTGTACTAGGAGGGACATTACAAAAAATTTGGTGGCTAACCTGAGTATTCGTCTAAGTAGCCCTGTGGTTTTCGTAAAAAAAAAAGTTGTGCATGCTGGTAGTGTTCACTTTAGAGAACTATCAAAAACTGTTAAGAATGGAAAAGTAAATAAAATCAGAATGGCCGAACGGTCCATGGAAGATTCAGCTTGTTTTAAAAAAATTAAACATACGTTACAGTTACTTTTGGAAATTGAAAGTTCATATCCCCGATATGTTTTAATGTTTATAATACTAATTTATCGGTCTCAGTCCCGTCAGTGGTTGAGCCGGATGTGGTGGCTGCGGTCTCACATGTTTTGTTAATTTTTATTGCTTATATTTATCGGTCTCAGTCCCGTCAGTGGTTGAGCCGGATGTGGTGACTGCGGTCTCACATGTTTTTTATTTTTATTGCTTATATTTATCGGTCTCAGTCCCGTCAGTGGTTGAGCCGGATGTGGTGACTGCGGTCTCACATGTTTTTTTTAATTTTTATTACTTATATTTATCGGTCTCAGTCCCGTCAGTGGTTGAGCCGGATGTGGTGACTGCGGTCTCACATGTTTTTTTATTTTTATTTCTTATATTTATCGGTCTCAGTTCCGTCAGTGGTTGAGCCGGATGTGGTGATTGCGATCTCACATGTTTTTTTTATTTTTATTGCTTATATTTATCGGTCTCAGTCCCGTCAGTGGTTGAGCCGAATGTGGTGACTTCGGTCTCACATATTTTTTTTAATTTTTATTGCTTATATTTATCGGTCTCAGTCCCGTCAGTGGTTGAGCCGGATGTGGTGACTGCGGTCTCACATGTTTTTTTATTTTTATTTCTTATATTTATCGGTCTCAGTCCCGTCAGTGGTTGAGCCGGATGTGGTGATTGCGATCTCACGTTTTTTTTTTTATTATTATTGCTTATATTTATCGGTCTCAGTCCCGTCAGTGGTTGAGCCGGGTGGTGGCTGCGGTCTCACATGTTTTTCTTTATTTTTATCGCTTATATTTATCGGTCTCAGTTCCGTCAGTGGTTGAGCCGGGTGGTGGCTGTGGTCTCCACATATAAATTTATTTTTCAGAAGATGTCCAATTGACACAGTAGTGCCGAGAACGTCACTAGCGTCAGAATTGGCCGTGTTAGCAATTTTACCTAGAGTCGCCTCTGGCCAGGGAGATAAGCACGTGTTGATGACGATGCGTAAATACCCCGACCTTTTTCGTCGGCATCATGTGGGTGTTTCACAGGGCATTCTGAAAAGTACAATCAACGTGGTCGATCTCTCTGCGCAGACTTACTGGCCACTCGCTACGTCATTACATGTGTTTTTGTATTCAATATTCATACGATTATAGTGGTGTTTACTAATATTTGGATTTTTAATTGTAATTAATATTTATACCCCCTTCGTTTTCTAACAGTATTTTAATTGATTCGGAATTTTTTATTAGTATATATTATAATTTTACAATTATATAAGAATGGCGAGTGCATTAGAAAATATTGCAAGCATAAGTACACGTAAACGACCTACAGTCAAATACCACAATTGTAGAGAGTGATTCACATTTTTAACATAGACCTTTGCGGGTCTGAGGGGAAAGGAAATCGACGAGTCATAGGCGTGCGGTTATTATTAAAAATGATCTTCAGCATTTTAGAACGAATTGGTTGTCACAAAAATTATTTTCCTATTTTAAAGATGCACGAGGTGAGGAAAACCGGCAATAATAATTATTGAATAAGTATATATAAAGTCAAATGTATATACGAGCCCTGTCTCAGGGAAGTTGGCCCAACTGCCAAAACCATGTTTTTTAAAGAAATTTGCCATATTAACGAAAAAGTATTAAAAACTACAATATTTCTGATAACATACGAGGATGTATCAGAAAATAACGAGACTGGTGCTATAGTATAACAACGAAACATTTATTTAAAAAAATTCAACAACTATCGTTCGAAGTACTCTCCATTCTGTTGAATACACTTATCCCATCGCTTTATCCACTTATCATAAACTTCTGAGAAACCATTTTTTGATAGTCTGTTTAGTATACCCATCACAGCGTTGTTGAGCTCTAAATCCGACTCAAATCTTCTACCTCTCAATTCTTTTTTGACTTCAGGAAACAAATGGAAGTCACATGGAGCAAGGTCAGGAGAGTAGGGGGGATGAACTATAATTTCAACCCCTAATTCTTCAATTGTTCGTTGACAAATCATTGATCTATGAGCCGGAGCATTGTCGTGATGCAGCGTCCAGCCAAAGTCCTGATAAAGCGGCCTTTTTTTCTTTAATTTTGCCTTTAAGGGTCCTCGAAGTACATTAGAATAGTACTCCCCTGTTACTGTATGTCCTCTAGGTACAATGTGATCGTAAATAACGCCAAATTTATCAAAAAAAATCAGGTGCATCACTTTACCAGCGCTTTTAGCAGTTTTGGCCTTCTGCGGTCTTGGGCTGCCTTTATGCTTCCATTGCATACTTTGAGACTTCAATTCAGGATCGTAATGATAAAACCAACTTTCGTCACATGTAACCACATTATTTAAAAACTGTGGGTTACGTTGCAATTGCCTTTTCCACTGCTGACAAATTGTCACTCGATTCGCTTTTTGTTCATCGGTCATCACTTTTGGAATCCATCTTGCCGCGATCTTCCGGTACTCTAAATCTTCATGAATAATTTTTTGAGTGGTACCGTAAGACACATTAACATTGTCAGAAATTCGTTTTATGCCAATCCGGCGATCATTTTGTATCAAGTCGTTAATTTCTGCAATTTTTGTGTCATTTCTCGCAGTTTGTGGTCGACCGGGACGAGGTTCATCTTCAACTGATTCACAGCCGTCTTTAAACTTTTTATGCCACTCAAACACTCTACATCGTGATAAACTATTATCTAGATATGCACCTTTAATCATTTCAAAAGTTTCAGTTGG